CTTCCCTGAGTAGAACTGATATCTCACCTCTGCTTCCACAACTCAGATGCAGCCTTACTGGGTGTTGCCTGGCATCCAACTACATGAGTCTGCATCCTGGACAGAAACCAAACTACTCCCTTCAGCATACCCTCAAGTGGACAAACCTCATAAAGCTTTTTGAATTAGTGGATGCTCAGTAAAAGCCACATCTACTTTAGCACCATTTGATACAATATGATACCAAGTCATTACGAAATGTAAGGTCAAGAATTAAGCCCTAGAGAGAACCAAGATGGTGGCATTGATAAACACCAGAAATTGCTGCCTCCCACAACAACTGCAAAAATACAACTAAAAGACAAAACAGACATCATCCAGAACCACAGGAAGGCTGGCTGAGTGGAAATTCTACAACTAGAAGGAAAGAGAAAAGCACACTGAGACTCAGAGGAGCTGCAAAGTAAAGTGCAGAGGTATGGAGGCGCACGCGGCAAGGGCTGGCAACTGACGACATGGCTTTTTGAATCAGGAGGGAGTCACAAACCCCCAACTGCTCTGAACTCCAGTTCCGGGTGAGTCTCTGGGGACCCAGACTCATACGGGGAGAAACTGGACTGTCTGGCAGTGGGCAGAACTCGGAACTCGAGGGCGGCTTTCTCTCAGAGGTACTTGCAGCAATTACTGGGACACTGAGACTCGGGGCCTCTTAGGGCAGGGCTGAGGATCAGCCATAGCTGTTTGCTCCACCCTGTTGATTCCTTGAGACCCCGCCCCACCCAAGCTGTGTGCAGAGGCTTTTGCATATGAATGCCCTGGCCCTTTGCAATCTGAAAATTACCTAACAAACTGCAGCTGGGCCAGACAGACCCAGAACTTCCAAGAGAAGGCCCAAGGCCCCATAGCAGCTTGCATTGCTTCACAGCTGGGCCTCATCTGAGCACCTCCAAACACCAAACAAGGAAGGGGAATCTGCAAATCTCTTCATAGCTCCTACTGGGTAGCCTCAGGCAGAGGCTAAATTTGCACCTCCTTAGATCCAAGAGCCAGTGTACCCAATGGTCAGAGTGGGACCATCCAGATTACAACTCCTCAGATCCATAAGGGACACACTCAGGGGGCAGACTCAGTGAGCACCAAAGCCCCACTGAAGCAAGTCTTGCCCCAGAAGGGTGTCTTCAGCACAGAAGTTCTCCTGCTGCAGACACAGCTGATTCTCACAGCCAATTGGCCTGGAGGTCAATTCCTCCCAGTGATACCTACAACAATCAAGGCTTAACTACAACAAGACTGTGCACAAAACCCACAAAGGGGTGCACCAAGAGTGTCCACCTCAGGTGATTGGGGAGGCTGAGCCACTGGGCCCTATAGGACACCTAGCACACAAAGCCACTCTACTAACACAGGGAAGCATAAAAAATGCAGAGACAAAGAAACAGGACACAAATGACAGAAATGGAGGAAAGCAAACGACTGGATATAGAGTTCAAAACCACTGTTATAAGGTTTTTCAAGAATTTTCTAGAAACTGCCAATAAATATAGTGAGACCCTGGAGGATATGAAAAAAGACCAACTAGAAATTAAGCATACACTGACTGAAATAAAGAATAATATACAGAGATCCAACAGCAGACAAGAGGATTGCAAGAATCAAGTCAAAGATTTGAAATACGAAGAAGCAAAAAATACCCAACCAGAAAAGCAAAAAGAAAAAAGAATTCAAAAATATGAAGATAGTGTAAGGAGCCTCTGGGCAACTTCAAGCGTACCAACATCCGAATTATAGGGGTGCCAGAAGGTGAGAGAGAGCAAGATATTGAAAACCTATTTGAAGAAATAATGACAGAAAACTTCCCCTACCTGGTGAAAGAAATAGACTTACAAGTCCAGGAAGTGCAGAGAACCCCAAACAAAAGGAATCCAAAGAGAACCACACCAAGACACATCATAATTAAAATGCCAAGAGCAAAAGACAAAGAGAGAATCTTAAAAGCAGCAAGAGAAAGGCAGTCAGTTACCTACAAGGGAGTACCCATACGACTGTCAGCTGATTTCTCAACAGAAACTATGCAGGCCAGAAGGGAGTGGCAAGAAATATTCAAAGTGATGAATACCAAGAACCTACAACCAAGATTACTTTACCCAGCAAAGCTATCATTCAGAATTGAAGGTCAGATAAAGAGCTTCACAGATAAGAAAAAGCTAAAGGAGTTCATCACCACCAAACCAGTATTACATGAAATGCTGAAAGGTATCCTTTAAGAAGAGGAAGAAGAAAAAGGTAAAGATAAAAATTATGAACAGCAAATACACATCTATCAACAAGTGAATCTAAAAATCAAGTGAATAAAAAATCTGATGAACAGAGTAAACCAGTGAATATAATAGAACCAGGGGCATAGAAAGGGAGTGGACTGACAATTCTTGGGGGAAAAGGGGTCTGGGGGTGCAGGAAGAGACTGGACAAAAATGGTACACCTATGGATGAGGACAGTGGGAGGGGTAAGGCCGGAGGGTGGGGTGGGAACTGGCTGGAGGAGAGCTATGGGGGGGAAAAGAGGAACAACTGTAATAATCTGAACAATAAAGATTTAATTTTTAAAAAAAATAATTAAGCCCTATTTGGAGATAATAAAGGCAGAGCAGTCTTTACTTCCTTCCAAGTTTGGACATAATTTTTTAGTAAATGGTTCTTAATCATCACACAATCCCACTATTTAAATGAAACTTTTCCACTCTCATAACCTATTTAAGAACTGTTCAACAAAGTGTGTGAGTGTTATGTATTATCAAGAATTGATGGCTCTAAACCCAGAGCACAGAAAAGGTGAAAGATCTACACAAGTCATACAGCTCATCACAAGGGCTAAAATATGATTCCATTCATATTCTATCCACTACCTCCTAACAGGAAGGACCTGAGTGAACACCAGTAACTTTCAAAAGCATCTAATCATGCTTGGTATAGAGTAAACGTTCAAATATTTGAGTTAATAAAGATAATTTAAAATATCTCTAGTTGTGGAGGTTTATGTACAATGGAGACATCATTAATCCTTAATCACGCAGATCATACTGACAGACTATTTCAAAGCATACTCAGAACCAAAACTTCTGTTCTTAGGAAGGGCACGGACCAGAAACTCCATCAGAGCCGCTTTTCCCTGCTTTGTGTGTTCCCAGGGCCACAACAGACTAAACATTATATAGCTCACCCCATTTTCTAATTTCAGCTTGCATTTAAGATAACGCTTTTGTTTCACTTACAGCTCACATGCTTCTGACACAGCTGCCCCTTCTTCGAAATAAACACAAGGCTTCTATATTTAAAAATACAGTGAAACTTTGTTATAGCATCCCCTTCCCAGTCTCGGGCCAATGTTCGCTCCCAAGCCCCGCCTCCGCCCGGGATAATCTATCATCGGCGCTCCAGGCGCTGTACTCTTCGGAAAGTCAGTTTTCTTTTTAAAACACATCTCATCGCAGGGGTATTTTTCTTCGCAGCTCGTGTGTGTGTAGTTCTTTAAAGGAGGGGAAATAAAAGATTCCCTTCCCAGGCCAAAGAATCGGAGGGGCTGTGAACTGCAGCCGGTGCCCCGAGATCTAAGTTGGGACAAACTCGCCGGCCGGGCTCGGGCTCGGGCTCGGGCTCCGCGGGAGACGCCGGCGGCTGCGCGGCTGGTTCCACGGCGACTGGCAGCCGCGCTGACAGGAACAAGCTCACCGCGGGCACTGCCCGCCACAGGCGAGCGCCCCCCGGGAGGCTGCTCTGTGCGGGGAGGGGCTGTCGTTACCCCACAGCGATGAGTTTACGTGGGCTCCTAGCTGGGCGCGGCTCCCCGACCGGCCGAGGGCCGGGGCTGAGTCACTCGGAACGGTCGGAAGGGGGCGGCCGAGGAGGCTGTGGGTCCGAGAGGCGCGCGGGGCGGAGGTGAGGCGAGGCCAGAATTCACCGTCCACCTCCCGAGCATCTGGGAAAGGACGACTAGGGACCGGAGCGGCGGGGGGGGGCAGCCTCAAGGAAAGTGAAACTCCTTCCCGCCGGGAGGTGAGGGAGCCGAGCGCACTCGCTCTGCAGCCCGCCCGGCGCAGCACTCGTGACTCCCGCAGCCCAGCCCAGCCCAGCCCAGGGCACGGCGCAAGTAGCAAGCACCTAAGTCTCCTGTTCCACACCCTCACTTGGTGAGGGGAGCCAGTCACTGGAAATAAAATAAGTTAGTTGCCCATGCCTCTTAGTAAGAAATTTAAAGGAAAAAAAAAAGCACAGGACGTTCCCATACCGGGAGTCGAACCCGGGCCGCCTGGGTGAAAACCAGGAATCCTAACCGCTAGACCATATGGGAGGTGCTGGTGAAGACGCCGCAGTGACTCACCTGACGAGCGCCCGCGCCCGCGTCGCCTCCTCTCCACCTCTCGCCGCTGCGGTTCCCGCCGCTCCTGCGCCACTCACGCCGCTCCCTCCGCTGCCCACGCGCTCCCGAGCGAGGGAACCAGCCCGGTCCCGGCGCGCGGGCGTCGCGGAGGGGGACGCTGCCGCACAGCCGCCTCAGGAAAGTTCTGAGGCAAACCCCGCAACTCGCGGCCCCGAAACCAGCGGTTTCACCTTTCCCTTTTTTTTTTTCTTTTTTTTTTTAACTCCGCCAACGGCCCCCAGCCTACAGGTCCGGGTTGCTCCGCTGGTCAAAGTGCGTGCGGAGTACTTGGCAAAGTTGAGGGCGGCGACGTCTCGGGGAACAGCTGTTTGCGTTCGGGGCGGAGGCGGCGCGCGAGCTCCCCGGCCACGAGCCAGCGAGCCTAGGAGAGGGTGGAGGTTCTGGGTCCCCGGGGAAGAGAACGGGGGGAATGACGCGGAGACTGGAGGCTCCGGGTTAGCGCCCTTCAGCGTAGGTCCCGTCACGCCTCGCCCCTTCTCGGTGACCTCACCCCCTTTATACCCACCCCACCTCCCAGGAGCCGGAGGCCCGCCCCTGGGGGGGGAGGGGACGTGGAGGCGATTCGGAACGCGGATTGCGTCCTCCGGGCACCCGTAGTTGGGAACCGTGGAACCCTGGTCCCGGGCGGTGTCGCGGCTCGGAGGCTCGGGTGGTCCTCGTGCCGGCTGGGCTGCCGCTCGCCCCGGGAGGGGAACGCGAGCTTGGGCCGGACCCGCGGGCGACGCGCGGAGCGGCTGGTCCAGTCATGTGAGTTGGGTCTCGGGCTCCAAACAAGGACGTGTTGTTCCCCTGGGCGGCCCTTTCCCCGCCCGGCTCCCCTCCGCCACCGTCCCCGTTCCCCCGCCCCTCGGTTAGAGGCGGGATGGACGCGCTCGCCGCTTGCTGGGGACCGGCCGGACCGGTTCTCGGGGCCGGATGGAAACCCTGCCCAGGGAGCGCCCCGGGGCACGGCGGACGGGCTCTCGGGCGGGAGGTGGGCGGCGAGCTCCAGCCCCCTGGCGGCGGGGGGGCGCCGCAGCCTCGGGTCTCGGGTGCTTGAGCCGCGCGGGGCGTGGTGACCCTGGGGTCGGGCTGTGGCCCCCCGAGTCCTCCGCCTACCGGAGCAGCCGGCCCGGTTAGAGCCATGATTGTTTTCCCCATGTCTTGCCAGCCGAGAGGTCCCTTGGGTTTCCCAACTCTCTCTCGCCCGGAGGCTCAAGAACAAATTGCGTTAGCTGATGGTCTCGGAGGAGCCGCACCTCCGCCAGAGGAGCCTTGCGCTATGTTTGTTCTTTTGGTGCAAGCAACTTGGCCTAAAGCATGCTTTGTGAGCGTCTTCAGACCTCCATTACAGCAGCCTCTCAAAATGCCAGGAGGGGAGGAAAGACAAGTCTTCTCTAAGGTGTTACTCATTTCTTCACACTGATGACGTTAACATATGGGGGGACGACTTTTTTTTTTAAGCTGTTTTGTCTAAGGGAGTTTTCAATCCGGTGCAGACTTTTCTACCTGAGTGGCAACACTTTCAGACAATAAAACAACGCGGTTGTATATAGCAAGGCCAGATGCAGTAGCAGAGGCGTATATTTCAAATCCTAAGATGTAAAGCATACAGAGTTTTACCTGTTTAACTTATAAATAAGCTTAGACTTATTTTTCCCTTTTTCAGGGCTGACTACTGGAAGTCACAACCAAAGAAATTCTGTGATTACTGCAAGTGCTGGATAGCGGACAATAGGCCTGTATGGCAGTTCCACTAATAGAGATTCTAATAATGTGTTTATGTGAAGTGTTCCCTTTTTTATCGAAACTTGGAGTTTGCAAAACATTTTCATATGCATTGCTCTAGAGCAGTGGTTCTCAACCTTCCTAATGCCGCGACCCTTTAATACAGTTCCTCATGTTGTGATGACCCCAACCATAAAATTATTTTCGTTGCTACTTCATAACTGTAATTTTGCTACTGTTATGAATCGTAATGTAAATATCTGATATGCAGGATGTATTTTCATTGTTGCAAATTGAACATAATTAAAGCATAGTGATTAATCACAAAAGCAATATGTAATTATATATGTGTTTTCCGATGGTCTTAGGCGACCCCTGTGAAAGGGTTGTTTGACCCCCCCAGCGGGGTCGCGACCCACAGGTTGAGAACCGCTGCTCTAGACGTTTCAGAACGTTGAAAATCTTTCTATCTTCTTTTTTTGTTGTTAATCCTCATCCGAGGATATTTTTCCTTTGATTTTTAGAGAGTGAAAGGGAGGGGGAGAGACAGAGAAACATCCATTGCCCTCCCCCACACACCCTGGGACTCTTCAGTCCTCAAGCCAGCACTCTATCCACTGAGCCATACTGGCTAGGGCTTCTGTTATCTTTTCATTCCTTGTGTGCCTTCTTCCTTTTCATTGGCCTAAATTTGCATATGTATGTACTAAGCCCAATTATTTCACTATGGCCCTTCAGTCAATTTAGGAAATGAACCTTGAGTGTGGGTAATCTCCTCCATGTCTATGAAACATCCAGTTGTGATGGTGTTGTTTGTAACACTGTCACATACCAAGTAAAAGTGGAAAGCCCTTAATATGTAAGAAGAAATATTGTAGTTTTTCTTGTTTTTTGCTCTAGAGATAATTAAATATACTTGATGCACAGCTTTATGTCTATGAATGCTTAAATTTGAAAAAGACATCATTACCTCTGTCATGGAATATGAAAGTGGCAACTCTGTTAAGCAAATTATATTACTGTGTCTCTTAGTCTAGTTTCAGCTTTTAAGACATGAAACAAAAAGCAGCAACATTGTCTTTTTTTTTTTTACACCTCTCATGCATGTCATAGGACTGTGTACATTAAGCATGTCAAACTCAAAGGCTAACATGGGCCAAGTAAGGTTTTAAGTTTATGTGGGCCACAAAAAAACAAAAGCTTCAATTTTCATAGAAATGTAGGTTTATTTCGATAGAGACATGCTGAATACAAAGGGCTGAAATAATGAGTAATCGTTAACATAAAATAATAGAACATTTTAATAAAAATTAATATTTTTTTCTAGAACATTAACTTACCATACACTGAATAACTGCACAAATTAATAAGCTTAACGCAAATAACTATTTTTCTTGTTTTCCAAAAGCGAAATATTTCCTGTTGCACACACCAAACAAGTCAGTCCAAGACTAATGATGTGGCAATCGGCTGCTAAAATATTCACTGCTAGTATTAGTGGAGAGAAATGATGAGCCTGCACATTAAGTGCATAAGGGAAATGAATGCAACACAATTATAGTGATCAGTCATTAGCAAACATCATAGTTACAAAATTTTTATTAAAATGTTTCTTACATAATATATTGACTGGGCCGTAAAAATATTCATTGTGGGCCGAGAGTTTGACATGCTTGATGTACATAGTACCCATAGGCTAGGGCCGTGGTCGGCAAACTGCGGCTCGCGAGCCACATGTGGCTCTTTGGCCCCTTGAGTGTGGCTCTTCCACAAAATGCCACATGCGGGCGCGCACGTACAATGCAATAGAAACTTCGTGGCCCATGCGCGGAAGTCGGTATTTTGTGGAAGAGCCATACTCAAGGGGCCAAAGAGTCACATGTGGCTCGCGAGCCACAGTTTGCCGAGCTGCAGTTTGCCAACCACTGGGCTAAGGTATTTTAAAAATATATTATATATTCAAATCCTTTGTACTTGATAGAGTTGGATGCACAAAAGAATAGTAGCCCTATCTGTAACAATGTTGTATTTGTTTAGTAGACATTTATTTACGACTAGAGGCCCAGTGCACAAAATTCGTGCATGGGCAGGGTCCCTAGCAGCTGCCGGCTGCGGCCTGGACCTCCCTTCCCCTTGCTGCCTATGACCGCCACCACCGCCAGCCGGGGCCTCTCTTCCCATGATTGGGCCGCCAGCCCTGCCCCCTAGTCGAATTCCCAGTTGAACTCCCGGTCGAGGGGACAGTTTGAATATTAGGCTTTTATTGGATAGGATTGTCTGTAAGAGACAGAAACATCGATGTGTCTACAAGGAGTTTGGGTTTTTCTTTTGGGTTTTGTTTTTGTTTTTTTTGGTCTTTTTTAATAGTTGCTAAAGTTCTTGACTATCTTGTTTGACTTAGGCCCGTGGTTGGCAAACTGTGGCTCTTTGGCCCCTTGAGTGTGGCTCTTCCTAAGTCTTAGGAATACCCTAATTAAGTTAATAACAATGTACCTACCTATATAGTTTAAGTTGAAAAAATTTGGCTCTCAAAAGAAATTTCAATCGTTGTACTGTTGATATTTGGCTCTGTTGACTAATGAGTTTGCCGACCACTGACTTAGGCCAACCTACACAACTCACTGATAGTGTCTTTCTTGGAGGTAAAGCAGTTCAATGAATTCCATGAGTTATGTAGAGTAAATAATTTCTCTAGGATAGTCTTTCTGCATCTCCTTGAATTGCTAATACACACCACTTTAACCTTTACTTAGAAACAAAATTAATTTATTTTTAATGGACCTGTAATAGTCTTTGTGGTGTATAATAAATTTTAGAAAAATTAATATATGAAAAAGGATGAACATTTGCCTTAAAAAGTCACATTTTTAAAGAGGAATTCACAGTACTTTAGAATAGCTCAGGTAATGCGTTGTGTAAGATTTGATTTACAAAACTTATTTTGCAAAGTTTAGCAGATAATTCTTATTGTGTACAACCATAGGGAGCATTTCTGGCTGTTTTAAATATGTGATAACATTCAATCACCCACCTCTGTCATTCATCCAAGTTACCATCATTCCTCATAGGTTACCCCTTTTCATTTTCTTGTCTAGCCTTCTATTGTTTCTATATGTATATAGGTTCTTAATCTAACATACATAAAAGGTTACATACTATATACACTGTATTGTACCACAGTTGTTTTGTTGTTGTTGCTTTTTTAATACATTTCTATTGATTTCAGAGAGGAAGAAAGAGGGAGAGAGAAATAGAAACATCATGATGAGACTCACCAATTGGCTGCCTCCTGCACTCCCCCTACTGGTGGTCGAGTTCCTAACCCAGGCATGAGCCCTTGATTGGAATTGAATTCAGGACCCTTCTATCTGCAAGCTGAAGCTCTATCCACTGAGCCAAACCAGCCAGGGCGTTTTGTTTTACTTTCTAATTGAACAGTATATCCTGAAGCACTCTCCAAATTAAGTTTTAGGGAGCTCTAATGTAGCAGTTTAATTTTGATAGATAGTTCCAAATTGTTCTTCATAGGAGTTTAACATTTTGTACCATTACCACATTATATAAAAATATTTGTTTACAATTAAGATAATTTTTTTTTAATATATTTTATTGATTTTTTACAGAGAGGAAGGGAGAGAGATAGAGAGTCAGAAACATCAATGAGAGAGAAACATCGATCAGCCACCTCCTGGACATCCCCCACTGGGGATGTGCCCACAACCCAGGTACATGCCCTTGACTGGAATCGAACCTGGGACCCTTCAGTCCGCAGGCCGACGCTCTATCCACTGAGCCAAACTGGTTTCGGCCATTTTTAATTTTTTGAGGAAACGCCATACTGTTTTCCACAGTGGCTGCACCAGTCTGCATTCCCAACAGCAGTGAAGAAGGGTTCCTTTTTCTCCGCATCCTCACCAGCACTTGTCCTTTGTTGATTTGTTGATGATAGCCATTCTGACAGGTGTGAGATGGTATATCGTTGTTTTGATTTGCATCTCTGGGATGATTAGTGACTTTGAGCATGTTTTCATATGTCTCTTGGCTTTCTGAATGTCCTTTTTCAAAAAGTGTCTATTTAGGTCCACTTTTTAATTGGATTATCTTCCTTTTGTTAAGTTGTATGAGTTCCCTGTAAATTTTGGAGATTAAACCCTTATCAGAGATAACATTGGCAAATATGTTCTCCCATGCAGTGGGCTTTCTTGTTGTTTTGATGGTTTCTTTTGCTGAACAGAAGCTTTTTATTTTGATGTAGTCCCATTTTTTTATTTTCTGTTTAGTTTCCATTGCCCTAGGAGCTATATCGGTAAAGATGTTGCTACGACAAATGTCTGCTATTTTGTTGCCTATGGCTTCTTCTAAGATTTTTATGGTTTCCCCTCCTACATTTAAGTCCTTTATCCATTTCGAGTTTATTTTTTGTGTATGGTGTAAGTTGGTGGTCTAGTTTCATTTTTTTGCAAGTATCTGTCCAGTTTTCCCAACACCATTTATTGAAGAGACTGTCTTGTCTCTATTGTATGCGCTTGCCTCCTTTGTCAAATATTAATTGAGCATACTGGCTTGTGTCGATCTCTGAGTTCTTTGTTCTGTTCCACTGGTCTATATGTCTGTTCTTGTGCCAGTACCAGGCAGTTTTGAGAACAGTGGCTTTGTAATACAGCTTGATTTTTTCCTCCATCTGGTTTATGCACTCTAGGACCCTTAATCTGAAGTCTTTTTCTGTCATGTTGCATGCCTCTGTATCACTTAGCTGCGTTTCTGGCAAGTCCTCCTTTTCTTTCCTTTGGGGGTTTCTTTGTCTATCCATGTTTGATCATACTGCCATATCTAGATGTTGAGTCATTCAGTGGCTGCTCCTTGGGTGGCAGTGGCTCCTCGGGCTGCGGTTGCTCCTCAGGCGGTTGTGGTAGCAGCTGCTCCTCAGTTGGTAGCAGCTCCTCTATTGGGTGCTGTTCACAGTTGTGGTGGCTCCTCTCTATAATTAAGATAAATTTTTTAATGTCTACTTTTCTCCCAATATGGAAATATGGAGGAATATGGCTCTAAGGATCATTGGTTATTGTCTCTTATCTAATGTGGCAAGTAGAGCAGTGTAAATTCTAGAGACTTACTGGTTTTGACACTAGGTTGAGAGGTGTTTCTTGAATTAAGATTTTTTTTCCCACTCTTTTGGCTTCATGTCTTGTTTGAGTCCTCATTACAATCATAGTCACTAGATTAGTCATCAAGTGTACCTTGTATTTTCCTCCATTAATATGGTAATCATGGTTATATTTTAAGCACCAAAGGAGATCTAGTCAGAAGGCATAATCTATAATAATAAAAGCGTAATATGCTACTTAGACCAGGCAGCCAAACGACCTTCCAGATGAAGCCGCAGGGGCTGAGGCAGAGGCAGTTAGGGGCAATCAGGCAGGCAGGCAGGAGAGCAGTTAGGGGCGATCAGACAGGCCGGAGAGTGCTTAGGGGCGATCAGGCAGGCAGGCAAGTGGTTATGGGTGATCAGGCAAGCAAGCAGGTGAGCGGTTAGGAGCCAACAGTTGCGGATTGTGAGAGGGATGCCCAAGGGGTCCCAGATTGCGAGAGGGTGCAGGCCAGGCTGAGGGAACCCCCTCCCTGCATGAATTTTGTGCACCAGGTCTCTAGTAATAAATAGTAGTTAAGTTTTATAGTATCATTTGGTAAAAAGGGCCAATTTGCATTCAAGTTATTTTGTATCTTTTCTACCAGTCATTTTAGTTTTAATTTTGTTATCCTCCATTCCCAAATTTACTGTTACTTTAATGTGAGCATTATGATGTTTATGTAGTATTCCTTTGTATTTTCTTTCTTTTTTTTTTCATTTTCAAGAGTGTTGAATTTCATGAAAGAGGAAAGAATCATAAAGAAAATGTTGCAAAGAGGATCAGTGAGGTAATTTACTTTGTTTTTGTTTTGTTTTTTTGTCAGTTTTTCTATGTAAATATCAGTCTTTTATTTAGCTTTCACTTTTAAATGTGTCTTACAAAGATTAAACAGAAAAGCCTGGATAAGGCAAAGGAAGAAGAAAAGGCATCAAAGGAGTTTGCTGCAATGGAGGAAGCTGCCCTGAAAGCATACCAAGAGGATTTGAAAAGGCTTGGCTTAGAGTCAGGTAAAAAAAATAGCATGTTTTAAAAGTAACACCAGAGGTCATGCTAAGTTAGCTTTTATTATTTCCATAAAGAGGTTATACCCTCAGAGTATATACTATTAGTGTTTTTCCTATGCATCATAGCCCTGTTTAGATTATGGAAGTTTGCTTATACACTTTTGTGTTGCTTTTAAAGCTTCAGATTTTAACACCCCTCATTCACAACAGCCATACTACCTGGGTGGTTACCTAGTCCTAGTTATCCTAGGTCAGTGGTTCATTTCAGAGACATTTGAGTTTTCTAGGTATTCTAATTATTTGGCTAAAAGAATTATTTATTAAAAAATAGGTATTGCATAACTACAGTTTACTTTATCCATATGGTAAAAACTGAATTGTGTTTATTTATATGGTTGAATTACAGTGAATTAGAGGCCCGGTGCACAAAATTCGTGCACGGGGGGGGGGGGTTGGTCCCTCGCCCAGCCTGTACCCTCTCCAGTCTGGGACCCCTCGGGGGATGTCTGACTGCCGATCCCTGTGGGATCGGGCCTAAACCGGCAGTCAGACATCCCTCTCACAATCCGAGACTGCTGGCTCCTAACCACTCGCCTGCCTGATTGCCCCTAACCGGTTCTGCCTGCCAGCCTGATCACCCCCTAACCCAGTGGTTCTCAACCTTCCGGCCCTTTAAATACAGTTCCTCGTGTTGTGACCCAACCATAAAATTACTTTCGTTGCTACTTCATAACTGTAATGTTGCTACTGTTATGAATCGTAATGTAAATATCTGATATGCAGGATGGTCTTAGGCGACCCCTGTGAAAGGGTTGTTTGACCGCCAAAGGGGTCACGACCCACAGGTTGAGAACCGCTGCTAACCACTCCTCTACTGGCCTGATTAACACCTAACTGCTCTCCTGCCAGCTCAATCGCCCCCACCTGCCCTCCCCTGCCGGCATGGTCACCCCCAACTGCCCTCCCCTGCCAGCCTGATCTTGCTCCCAACTGCCCTCCTCTGCTGGCCAATTTGGTTCTGATTGGTCGGTTTTTGTGCCAGTCAGCGTCAAAAGCTCTGCCTCCTAGACTGCCATTGGCTCCTCACACTTCACCCCGATTTGGTTCTGATTGGTCAGTTTCTATGCCAGTCAGCGTCTCTGGGCCTATCAACAGGGCCTGATCAACAGCCTGGAGAGAAATGGAGGCATGGCTGCTGGAGAGAAAGAGAGAGGCAAATGCTGATCAACAGCTGCCACAGAGGCTATGGATCAGACCTTGCTTCTCAGGCCTCTCTCCAGGCATGATTCACAGCCCCCTCAGCGGTCAGTCCTGGGTCACCGCGCCTGCAGCCACAGCAGTCAGTGCTGGGTCGCCATGGCATCCCAGCGCTGACTGTAAGACTGACTTCCGGTTGGTCGAGCCTCCGGTTGTGACGGACTCAGGGTTTTTGTATATTAGCATTAATGGGTTATTGCTAGAAAGTGGATTACTTTTTTCTTTTTACTTTTTCATTGAGTATATTTGACAAACATTGTATAAATTTAAGGTGTACAATGTGTTACTGTGATACTAATCCCATATAATAGCAGGCTAATTTGCAAATTGTCCCCTCGGGAGTTCAACCGACCGGGAGTTCGACCACTCATTATGATGTGCGCTGACCACCAGGGGGCAGCGCCGAACGAAGGCCCCAGCTGGCAGCCAGAGGAAGGAAGACACCGGCTGGCAGTTGGGGAAAGGAAGGAAGGCCCTGATCAGCCATGATGGCCAGCCAGGCCTAGAGACCCTACCCGTGCACAAATTTTGTGCACCGGGCCTCTAGTACAGTGATGGCGAACCTATGACACACGTGTCAGAGGTGACACACGAACTCATTTTTTTTGGTTGATTTTTCTTTGTTAAATGGCATTTAAATATATAAAATAAATATCAAAAATATAAGTCTTTGTTTTACTATGGTTGCAAATATCAAAAAAATTTGTATATGTGACACGGCACCAGAGTTAAGTTAGGGTTTTTCAAAATGCTGACACACTGAGCTCAAAAGGTTTGCCATCACTGCTCTAGTATATCATAGTCCCACTAGAGGCCCGGTGCACGAATTCATGCACAGTGGGGTCCAGCTGGCCTCACTCCCAATCGGGGTTGCGGGGGCCGATCGAGGCCAGGGGGTGGGGGAGGGGGTCAGGGGGAGGGGACACGGGAAGTTGGCTGGCCAGCCCCGCCCCTGATAGGGGGGCTGGGCATGGGAGGGGCCACAGGCACTTGGCAGGGCCTCATCGGGGGAATGGGCCGCAGTCTGTTGGCCAGCCAACCCCAATCCCTGGTCAAACTCCCAGTCGAGGGGACAATTTGCATATAAGCCTTTTATTGTATAGAGTGCCATTGTAGTGATATTTATCGCATTACTTAATTGTAGTACAATATTTTTATCTATATTCATTACTCTCTGCCGGCAGTTTTCAACTGTTTTTATCTCACGGCACACATAAACTAATTACTAAAATACTGCAGCACACCAAAAATATATTCTATTATTTTGTCAACCTGACAAAAACCATAGGTATAACTTTGATTCATTTACACCAGACAGTTACTGTGTTGGCTGTTGTCATTTTTTATTTGGCACTCTAAGGGCAAAGAGGTCAGGTTTTGCATGTTTTAAAAATTCTTTGGGCACACAGGTTGAAAATCACTGCTCTGTGCATTGCAGCCGTCACCAGCCGGTGGTCCACTGACCACTGGTGGTCTGTGAAGTCAGAAAGGTTGGTGACCTCTGCATTAGAGCTCTGTGGATTATTTACTACTCATTGCAAGTTTGTATCCTTAAACAGCAGCAGTCTTACTCTCCCAACCCCCCATTTCCTGGTAACCACCATTTTACTCTCTGTTTTTTATAAGTTTGACTATTTATTTATTCTGTTGTTTATTTATTCTGCTGCTGTAACCAGAGAACCACACCAACAAGGGCTAAATTTGACTTTTTTAAGATTCCACAAAGGAGATAGACAGAACTTGTCTTTCTCTTTCTGACTTATCTTACTTAACACAGTCTGCTGAGGGTCCATTCATGTTGTCACAAATTGCAGGATATCCTCTTTTTCCATGCTTGAATACTATTCCATACTACATGTTTTTTAATTCATTCATCTGTGGATGGGCATTTAGGTTTCCACATTTTGGTTATTGTGAATAATACTGCAATAAACGCAGGAGTGCATATATCTCTTGGAGATCCTGTTTTTATTTTTAATTTTTTTGAAGAACTTCCATATTGTTTTCCATAGTGATTAGACCAATTTTCACACCAAGAGTGTATAAGGGTTTCCTTTGCATCACATCTTTGCCAGCAACAAAGTAAATAATTTGAGTGTTTGAAGATACTCAGTTCCAGATAAAAAGCATTTATCTAGCCCGGCCAGCGTGGCTCGGGTTGAGCATCGACCTATGGACCAGGAAATCACAGTTTGATTCCGGTCGGCGCAGATGCCTAGGTTGGGGGCTCTGTGCCCAGTAGGGGGCATATAGGAAGCAGCTGATCAATGATTTTCTGTCATTGATGTTTCTGTCTCCCTCTCCCTTCCTCTCTAAAATCAATAAAAAAATATAAAAAGATTTTTTTAAAACATTCATCTATCTTGTTATTAAATTTAGGCTTTAAGTGGGGAACTTTTTTTCCATGACATATCCATTGTCCTTAAACCAGGCATATTGCAAGTCACAGTTGTTGATCTTACATAATGGTGTGGTCATTGGCATGGATTGGTATTTTTACCCTAATAAAAACTGCTTTCAGTTAAGTTTTTAAACAGAATAGCAGTTAATTGACATTGCCCTCATCAAATAAAAACAGTTATAACCAGACTTTAAAAATATTATCCTGGATATTGCTAGTTAAAATGGGGAAAGCATTATTTTACAAAGATAAAGCTACATGTTTATAAGATGTATAAGGTGTTTATAAGGGAGAAAAGATGTTGGCATCAGGAAGGCCGGGGAGGGCTTGGGGCGGGGGGGGGGGGGGGGCGGTAAGAGATCAACCGAAGGACTTGTATGCATGCATATAAGCATAACCATTGGACACGAGTCCCTGTGGGGTAGGGGAGGCTGGGGGAAGGTCAAGGGGGAAAAAAAAAAGAGACATATGAACTACTCTTTGTAATATTTTAAGCAATAAAACAAAATTTAAAAAAGAAGATGTTGGCATTCCTGCAGAATTAAAGAGTAGTAGTCATCTCATCAAATATATGCCTTGGGAGAATTCATAATTTTTGTAGCATTTTCCTGAATGAGATATATATTCCTTTATTAAAAGTACAACAATTCAGTATAAAGAATTTTTAAAATAAAGTTATACATTTTATGTTATGGTCTACTTGGAGATTGTTTTATTTTTTCTTACACTATGTCAAGTACATCTTTTCTTTTGAATAACTAAGGATATACAGAGTGGTTAGGAGCACAGGTTTCAAGTCAAACAGAATTATCTCTTGTTAGCTATACAACCTTCAGTTTTTATTAAAATTTAAGTAATAAGCCCTAACCGGTTTGGCTCAGTGGATAGAGCATCGGCCTGCGGACTGAAGGGTCCCAGGTTCGATTCCAGTCAAGGGCATGTACCTTGGTTGCAGGCACTTCCCCAGTAGTGGGTGTGCAGGAGGCAGCTCATCGATGTTTCTCACTCTCTATGCCTCTCTCTTCTCTGTAAAAAATCAATAAAATATATTTAAAAAATTAAAATAAAATAATAAAATAAAATTAAGTAATAAAGTAATATAATAGTATAAATTGCTTATTAAAAGCGTGACACTTGTAACAGTGTTTAATAAAGGGTATAAAATGCCACCATTTATTTCATTTCTTTCCGGTTGACATTTAGGTTGCTTAGAGTTTTTCATTGTTAGAATGCTTCAGTGAGCTTCCTTATGTGTGAGTGTTTTTGCATTTATCCTTCTAAGTTTACTTTCTAGAAGTAAGATTGCCAAAACCAAGCCTGAATATATTTTGTAGATTGATAGTTAATACTCCAGCAATGTCTCCAAGATTAATACTTTTGCTAGAAATAAAGTTAATTTATTAATTGATGTTGGGAATGACTGGCTAATCTTTAGAAAAAAGTAAAACCATAAAAACTGCCTGTTTTTTCATATCCATAGATTAGACAGACCAACACTGGATTCAGTCATTCTTTTCAGTACTTATTGATCTAATACCAAAAAAATTAATTTCTTTGAATATTAGTGAAGGTAAATGTTAATTTTCTGAATTACCTCTATACTTTTTGCCCATTTTTCTGTTGCAGTATTGGATTTGTAAGGGATTTTTGTTAGGAACATTAATCCTCTGTCATATTTGTTATAAATATTTGTCATTTGTTTTTCCTGTATATATGTTTGTTTTTGTTTTTTGCCATATGCAATAATTCTAATTTGTATGTAGTTAAATTTAACATTATTTTACTTTGTGAGGTTTTTTTAAATATATTTTTATTGCTTTCAGAGAGGAAGGGAGAGGGAGAGAGAGAAAGAAACATCAGTGATGAGAGAGAATCATTGATTGGCTGCCTCCTGAATGCCCCCTGTTGGGGATCGAGCCCACAACACGGGCATGTGCCCTTGACTGGAATCAAACCTGGGACCCTTCAGTCCGCAGGCTACGCTCTATACACTGAGCCAAACCAGCTAGGGCAGGGATTTTTGTTTTTGTTTTTGTTTTTAATATCTTTCATCTGAAATTTATATTGATATAAAAACATGAGAGATACTGAGGAGAGGTGAACAGCTTAACTTTTTTCCAAATAACTAGCCAGTCAGTCTAACATCATTTATTAAATGATCTCTCTTCCCCTATAATAGGAAACACCAGGAATCTTGCAGTTGGATCTATTTCTGTACTGTTCTGTTTCAGTCATTTATTTCCCTATCCCTGGATCAGTTGTATACTGTCTTTTTTACCATAGTTATAGAATAAATTTTAATACCTGATAGTACTAGATTCCTCTTTCACTTCTATTTTGTAATTCCCCTGGATATTGGTGCATGTTTAGTTTTCCATATAAGCTTTATAATGATGTGTCAAGTTCCCAAAAGAATCTTAGCAGGTTTTTTATTTTAATAATATTATTTATGTTTTATCGGGTGCAGGGGTTGTATTGTCTACTTCACCCTTCTCTCATCTTTCCTCTAGAAATTTCAGAGCCAAGCATATCACCAAAAACCAGCACTGTCCCACCCATCTCTGCATCAAATCAGCAGAAAGAAAAGAAGAAAAAGAAAAAAGACCCTTCAAAGGGCAGATGGGTAGAAGGCATAACCTCTGAAGGTTACCATTACTATTATGATCTTATCACTGGAGGTAAGTCACGTGTTCATAGAGCTGCGGAGAATGATAACTGACAGTTTATTTTGTCTTTAGACATCTAGTTAATATTGGAATATTTAAACAATGAAATACTATAACTATACATTTTTGCCACTAAATAGTAAAAAAATTATGTGCCCTTTAAAAAGGTACCCTTCTCATAGTGACTCAGTGTCTTAGTTAGTTAAAGCCTTAATATTGGGTTCCTTACAAATTAAAGCTTTATATTTTTTCAATAGAACCTTCTAAAACAATGAGCTACATGTAAATAAAGCATTTCATGTGGAATAAAGGTATTTCAGATCCACTTCACAAATTGCAGGAGTTTTATTCTGTGGAGGAGATTTTCTATCCAAGAGCATACTGAGAACCAGAAACTGATTTCTTTTTTGTGTAGCTATCTTGATTGACTTAGTAAATTACCCCTCCCCATGAATGTTTTGGATATCAATTTCTAATAAAATGCACAATGGTATCCTACATAATAAAAGGGTAATATGCCAATAGACCGAATAGCAGAACAACCGAACAACCAATCAAACTTAATATGCTAATGATATGCTAAGGCTGTTCAACAGCTCACTGTGATGTGCACTGACCACCAGGGGGCAGACAGTCAACTGGTCAACCAGTTGCTATGACATGCACTGACCACCAGGGGGCAGATGCTCCAACCAGTAGGAGCATCTGGGGTCTGGCTGATCAGGACTGAGTGAGATGAGCCGGACACACCCTGGAGCCCTCCCATGGTCCCTCCCCGGCCCTATCTCGAAGGCCACTCCCCTTGGGAGGGTGCCAGACACAGGGCTCATGGGACTGATTGGGCGCAGGGCGCAAGCCCGAGGCAGGCACAGTGGGGCCAGGGTGAGTGGGAGCGGCAGGTAGGAGCCGTAGGCGGCGTTGGGATGCGGGTTTCTGCCCAATCCCTGCAGGCCACCCAGAGAGACCCCACCCATGCATGAATTCATGCACTGGGCCTCTAGTTTCTTAATAAAACTATCAAAAACATCTTTTTATTTTTTCTTTAAAATGAAATATATTTGGTATTTTTATTCCATGTAAATCTGGCATAAATAAATGAATTTGTTATACATTTACTCTTCAAAACCATAAAATTTAGTACCAGAAATAAACAATTAAGAGAGATACAAGGAAGAATTTTAAAGAGCTATAATGTAAGAAAGATGTGATTAAGATTATATGAGAGCCAGAATAGGAATTAATTGTGATTATGTGGATCTGAGAGATTACCACTGAAATTACTTATGAGCTGATCTACAAGTTAAAATGAGGATGTCAGGAATGATGTCATCATACCATTTGTATTCCTAGCACTTAACGCAGTGTGCCTGGCATTGTGCAGATACTCCATTGGTATTTTCTTTTAATATATTTTATTGAATTTTTTTTACAGAGAAGAAGGGAGAGGAATAGAGAGTTAGAAGCATCGATGAGAGATATCAATCAGCTGCCTCCTGCACGCCCCATATTGGGGATGTGCCCACAACCAAGGTACATGCCCTTGACCGGAATCGAACCTGTGACCCTTCAGTCCACAAGCCAACGCTATCTCCACTGAGCCAAACCAGTTAGGGCTCCATTGGTATTTTGATTGAAAAAGATTGCAGTAGCTTATTATGAGGCTACAGCAGGTATTCCACATAGATAGAACAATATCTATAATAATAAAAGCATAATATGCAAATTGACCAAACGACCGAACAGCGGAATGACCTTACGGACAAAGCTGGGGCTGCGAAGGCCTCCTCTTGCATGAATTTCGTGCATTGGGCCTCTAGTGACTCTATAAAGGTTTGAGCCCCAACCAGGTGGCTCAGTTGATTGGAGCATTGTCCCTTGCAACCAAACGTGATTGCAAGTTCAACTTCCATTCAGGGCACATACCTAAGTTTCCAGTCTGATCCCCGGTCAGGGGTGTACAGGAGGCAACCAATTGATGTTTCTTTCTCTCCCTTCTCTTTCTCCCTCCTTTAAAAATTCAATTAAAGAAACCTTTGGGTGAGGATTTTTAAAATAAAGAAGGCTTGAAAGTTTGGGAAATAGTTATCTGGTAGAGGTAAAGCATAAGGTTCTTTGAAGATAACATGGTAGAAGAGCCTGGAAAAATAGATTTGGGCCATATCATAGAGGACTCAGAAAATGATGGTTCCCTTTACTGGGATATGAAATATGGAAACATACTAAGTTTAAGTGGGGTGGTTAATTCATATTTGGATATGTTGAGGTTGAGGTATCTATAGAATACTCACGTGGCAATTTTCCTAACTCCCAACTCTAATTCATAATTAGAGTTGGGAGTTAGGAAGATAAATTGAGTCCGGGAGTGTAGATAATACATTAACTTTTAGGAGTATGTGAGACCACAAGAAAAAAAAAGAAAGGTAACATGGTGGGTAGTACATATATTAAAGGGATGGATAGAAGAAAGCCAGGGAAAAAAAAGTTAAGACTAGAAGGCAGGAAATGAGATCAGAAAATTAATCATGAAGAAAACCTTGGACTATAAGTAGTAGTAGTAGTATGATCTTTAGAACCATGATCAGTTTCAAACTACATAGAAATAGTAATAATGACTCAGTTTTCACTGAGCCGTAAGTGAAGTGCACGTTGTAGTTTAGCAGTGAATCATAGATTATTATATGCTAAGGATTATACGTCTTTCAAATTTATATAGAAACTATTATGTCTTTTCTCCCTTCTAGTGTCTATTGCTTGCTTCCTTTTTTCACCATCCTTCTTTATATACTCTTTCTCAGCATACTTGTTTTTAATTCCTGCATACTTCATCTTGTTCCTCTTTTGAGTCATTTGTTCTGTATCTCACTCTCCCCTCCAAAGATGTCAAAAGGCTATGTCATTCCTTCCAGATTTTTCAAGCCTGAATTTCATGAAGTTTTTAAGAGAAGCCCTACCTGGCTCTAATAATTCCTGTGGAAGTACCAGTAACTTGTAATGATTCTGTCCTTCCTTGGTCATGTAGCATTTACATGTATTGTTCTGCACAGTGCTACTGGATGCATGTTGGTTCTTTTTATTTTTCAATTATGTTTTTATCTCTAGACCTTAGTGTTTTGTACACATTGAATAGCTTATAAATTTTTGCCAAAGTGAATTTTTTGGAAACTTTTTTTAAAGCAAAAGGATTTTATAAATGCAATGTATTTTTGTTTTAAGCATCTCAATGGGAGAAACCTGAAGGATTTCAAGGAAACTTAAAAAAGGTAACTGAAGTACATTAATAGTGTCTTTGATTTATTCTTTAAAGTGATTGGCTTCTGGGGTTTTGGTAGCATTTTATTAAGCAAATTTACTTTCAAATAAGCCCCTCCTCCCCCAAACTCTTTGTTCCTTTTCTTCTATAATCCTTTCATTAGTAGGCTGGGTAGAGGTTAAAAGTGATGTCTATTCAAAAACTCCATACAGGGTAAATATTACTAGTTGCCGTTCACATGTCCCCTGTCCATCTGTGAAAAATTGTTCCTAGCTTTCAGAGGTGAATATAAACCAAGCTTTCTGGCCATGATCTGTACCACCACCGCTAACTCCCAGGTTTCGAGAGAAAAGCAAAGGGTGGCTAATTCTGCCTTAGTTATCTAATATATAAGTACATTGTTTTCTATCTATGCTGTTTTTTTCGTCTCATTAGACAGCAGGGAAGGCTGTTTGGGTTGAAGGTTTAAGTGAAGATGGTTACACCTATTATTATAATACAGAAACAGGAGGTAAGTATTACCTTTGATCATCTTAAGAATCTAAAATTATACCTGAAACTGCTTCTTAGCCTGCTAATGAATCATCTTAACTAGGGAATTTTAGTACATATAGTGATAAGCATATTTTCATAAAATGTATTATTTTTGTAATTTAGAAAAACACATTAATTCTCATGGAAAAACAAAAGGATTTCTATATATAATATACTGCACTATGCTATGTAATTCTCAATTGATACTGCATTCATAAATTTTAAAAATTGAGTCATTTTTACTTTCTCTACCATTACTGATTTTTATTATGATTATTTTAGAAATATAATCATTACCTTGGAAAGTACCTTAAAGATCAGTCAATTTGCCTTTTCCTTTTTAAAAAAACAAAACTGATGGTGTTTTTGCAGTGGCTGAGGTTGTCAAATTTTCACTTTTATCAGTTTAATAATGTTCCAGTTATATAAGTATTTATAAAATATGCCTAATTATTAACTAATTATTACATTTTTAAAATTAAAAATTTAATTTCATAAAACTGCCTTTCAAGTAATGGTACTTGATTTCTCTGCAGTTAATATCAAAATAGCTATAATATCAGTGTAACTTTGACAAGTTTGTGTTTTGTTTAATTCATACTAACCAAAGCCTTCTGCATAGCATTAAATCTTGTAGGAGGAAAAGAAAAGGTCTTTTAACCTTTAAATGGATACCTAGCCTGCCCAATGATAGCAATGGTTCTATCTCAGTTAAGTTGAGATACTGAATCTTTATAGAGATTAAGGAATATATAATGTAACTCTAGAGTAAGAGCTGAATTTAACACACAACTTCTTTCCTTACCAGGTATATGATTGTGGGCAAGTCGTTGAGCCTATAGGTCCTCTTAAGTAAAATAGAGACAATCACTTATTCTGTGGGGTCATGAGAGTCAGGTGTCTATAAAATTCCCAGAACAGTGTCTGGTATCTATTATATATCTACACAAATTATTTATTGTTTATTTCCTGAAGATTCTTTTGTTATTTATGTAAAATAGAGACCAAAAAAAAAGTAATTTTTAAAAAAATGTTTTTATTGATTTCAGAGAGAAAGGGAGGGGAGAAAGAGAGAGAAACATCGATCTGCTGCCTCCTGCATGCCCCACACTGGGAATGGAGCCCGCAACCCAGACATATGCCCTGACCGGGAATCGAACCGTGACCTCCTGGTTCATAGATTGAGACTCAACCACTGAGCCACACCAGCCGGGCAGTAATGTTTTTATTAGTGCTTAGAAGTATCCTATATTTAAAAGGGATTGTACGTATTGATTTGTCCTCAAAAGTTTTAGTTTATGTCTAGACCAGTGTGATTATTAATAGAGCCCTTTCCACTCTTAAAGCTCTCCCAATTGGACAATAAATTTTAGGATCCCTCTCCCTTTTATTAAACTAAAAATATAGATTGACTGCAAGATAATTAGAAATGCTATCATTTTACTAAAAGCCCAATAGGCCACTAGGTGGCAGTAGAGTTCAATCAAGGTTTTTTCCCTACTAGAAAAATGACAAATTATATTCGTTTAGATTTTTACAGTATGCTTTCTCTTTGTAAAGATCCTAGGAAATCTCTGTGGTAAATAAGTTCCAGGAAATCTGATGTGTGCTCATTATTACATACATTTCCTGAAATCAGTGTCAGTTAAATTGTGGAAATCCTTAGAAAGTATTGCCTAGTTCAGGAGTGGGCAAACTTTTTGACTCGAGGGCCACAATGGGTTCTTAAACTGGACCAGACGGCCGGAACAAAAGCATGGATGGAGTGTGTGTGTGAACTAATATAAATTCTAAGTAAACATCATTACATAAAAGGGTACGGTCTTTTTTTTTTTTTTTTTTTTTTTTTTAGTTTTATTCATTTCAAACGGGCCGTAGTTTGCCCATGGCTGGTCTAGTTCTTAGGCCTCTTTCCATCAGGGCTGTAGTTGATACATCTAGTGAATCAAGGTTGTTTGAAATAAATTTCTGAAAGATACAAGAGTAAGAGCTAACAGAATTCTTATTTATTATTTTCTTGACCAGTGATAGCATAAAATAGATGCAGAGTTGTCATTTAACAATATAAGTGACGGGAAGCATTATATTGAGAATTACTTCTGAATTGAATTGGTAACCAAATAACATGACTACTTTAATGTGTTGGATAGAATCCAGATGGGAAAAACCTGATGATTTTATTCCACACTCTGGCGATCTGCTTTCTAGTAAAGTCAATGAAAAGTCACTTGGTGCCCTGGAAGAATCCAAATCATCAAATTCACATAGTAATTCTGATGGGGAACAGGAAGAACAAAAAGTAGAGGTCTCTACAGAAACACCGAAGCTAAAAATAAAGTTTAAGGTAGGTGCTGGATTTACTCTTTATAAAAGTTTATCAATTTATAAAAAGCACTTCAGACTTTCTTAAATTTTCTGGTAAAAGATAGACATAAAACCAAGACCTGTATTTTGGAAACTGGATAAAAAGCTGTACCATTTATTGTTACCTGTTTGGTAGTAAGACAGTAAATTTATTTTTAGACATCCTAAACTTGAGCTGCGTCATTGAGAGAGAGCTGTCTGAACATGCAAATCAGAATGTCTAGGCTACAAATGTTGAGTATCATTAACAAACTGGTAGTAATTTAAATTTCAGAATGGGTGCAGTAATCTAGGAAAATAACCTTGGAGAACATTAAACATTTAAGTGGCAGACAGAGAAAGAGGAGCCCACAGGTAGAATGAGAAAAGAGTGGTTAGGAAGGTGTGCAAAGAAGCAGAAGAAGTTATCTCAGAAGCCAGAGGAATAGAGAGCATCCAGGATTAATTAGGCCTAGAAAAAGGAAAATGTCCATTGAATTTTGCAGTAATGAAGTCCTGGATACCCTTCTAGCAATTTCACGGGAGTTTTGGATGGCAGAACGCAGATTACAGGGGGATGAAAAGTGTTTCATTATGTGGTGTGTATGTATAGTTTGAATATGAAATGAAAATAGAAATTAGGTGATAGGATGTTGGCTACATATTAATCATGAGAGATTATGGTAGTGATATTTTTGTTGAGAAGGACCCCAAAAGAGGTAGAAAGGGAATACCAACAGGGATAGGTAAATAGGTTGGTCTTGAACAAGGAATAAACTCATTTTATATAAGACGATAAGGTTTTCATTTTCTTTTCTTTTTTTTTTTTTTTTTTTTTTTTTTTTATTGCTTAAAGTATTACAAAGGGTATTACATATGTGTCCATTTTATCCCCCCGCCCTAGACAATCCCCTAGCCTCCCCTATCCCCCAATGTCTTATGTCCACTGGTTATGCTTCTATGCATGCATACAAGTCCTTTAGTTGATCTCTTACCCCCCTACCTCCTGCCCCGCAACCCTCCCCGGCCTTCCTGCTGCAGTTTGACAATCTGTTTGAGGCAGCTCTGCCTCTGTATCTATTATTGTTCAAAAGTTTATAATGGTCTCTATTATCCATGAATGAGTGAGGTTTTCATTTTCTTTAAGAAGGTATGACTACGGTATGACTGCGGATGAGTTGGTATCAAGGAGGAAATTGAAAGAGTCATGCCACTTAGTCTCAGTTTACTCATTCATAAGTCAAGATTGCTTGCTGAGGGTGAGAAGCTGTGAAGAGCTTGACAACATTTATGAATTGAAATAGTCACTGAGCTGGAATGGGAGAGGAAATGAACCAAGATTGATAGGCTGAGTGCCTAGCCATGGTAGGAAAGTAAAAACAGATTTATACAGTATTAGTGGCCCCGTGCACAAAATTCGTGTACGGGGGAGGGGGGGGGTTCCTCAGCCCAGCCTGAACCCTCTCCAATCTAGGACCCCTCTGGGGATGTCGGACTGCCTATGGGATCAGGCTTAAGCCGGCAGTCAGACATCCCTCTTGCAATCCGGGACCGCTGGCTCTTAACCACTCACCGGCCTGCTCACCCCTCACTGGCCTTCTCACCCTTAACTGCCCGCCCCCGCTGGCCTGCTTGTCCCCAACTGCCCCCCTCACCCCCGTCGGCCTGATCGTCCCCAACTGCCCACCCCCCCACCCCCCGTGCCAGCCTGCTAGCCCCCAACTGGCCCCCCCTGCTGGCCTGATCACCCCTAACTGCCTCTACCTCGGCCCCGCCACCATGGCTTTGTCCAGAAGGACGTGCAGAAGGTCTCCTGCATATTACCCTTTTATTAGTATAGATTACTAGTCCTCTTGCTTTTATGACCTTTCCAGAATCACTCAGGAGCCCAGGTGCCAAAGTAAACAAGATACATAGCACTGATCCATGGTTGAGATTGCTGGTCTGAGAGGCAAAGGAATATCGAGGATTCTGGAAAGGGTACTTTGAGGCCACAGCTAGAATCTTGTCATTGCCTAAAATTTCTCTACCTACCCATAATTCTTGATGGAACTTAGGGCAAGGGATGTATCTAACTTGTAGAGGAACAGCAGCAAAGATCTTATAGTAGTAGCCATCTCACAGTGTTTATAGTCCAATTTAGGTAAGCCTGCATTCAACTTGGGACAGAAAATTTCAAGCAAACAAAATATTACAAAATTCAGTTAAACAAGGACAAACTATTTATAAACCTATCATGTATACCATTAGGTTGCTAAATACAGGCATACCTCGTTTTATTGCACTTTGCTTTATTGCACTTGACAGACGTTTCGTGTTTTACAAATTGAAGGCAAGATCCTCCACCAGCAAAAATATTTACAAGACTTACTTTATTGCGGTGGTCTGGAACTGAACCTGCAGTATCTCTGAGGTATGCCTGTATAGTGAAGATCAAAATCATTGATTTTGAAACTCAGCTGAGGCTAAGGAATTTTTAAGTTCTAGAATGACAATAAGAGTTTGAATAGAGAACATGGTGTCAGAGTTGGCACAGTCATCAGTGAATATAGAGTAGTGGCCAGAGGTCATTAGATCATATAAGGAGGAATGGAAGAGAACTGTGTAGATAGCAGTATTGTGAGCCTCGGAAGAGGAGATATTTATTGCATGAGAATCAAAGTCAAAATATTTTGTTTTTAGTCAAATAAAAATATTTTATTTCTAAAAAGTTAGGGCCTAGAAGCAGTCAAGATCCTAAGAGAAAGCAGGTGCTGACTCCTAGTTTTATGATACCAATAGCATAAGGGAATAAGCTAATATCCATTCAAAGACTTGCAAACAAAACAGTATCCCAGGACTGCCACCCATAGTTGTGCAGTTGCAAAGAAATCCAGTCCATAGTCTACTTGCTAAACTGGGTCACAGGACCTTGTTATTCCAGATGAAGGGGTGCCATAAAACCACCAGCCCTATCTAGGGACAACTATGGGAGCTGCTTGTCCCTCCAGGGTGTGTCTTCTACTTTCATGTAGCTTCCAGTTGTATAGGACACTAAAGTTCTGGCAATGTAGTCAACATAAAGTTAAGACAAATAGGTTAAGGGAGTTCTTTAAATAGATAGTGGGTGTAAAGGGGTCCAGTGACATGGCAGTAAACTCAAAAGGAGCACAGTATAAAGGAAGGTCAATGTTGGATATATAAGTAAGGCAATAAAACAGAAAAGAAAAGAGAGGATAAAAAAAGCTAATGTATGTTGTTAATTGTAGAGCATTAATAGGATCATGTCCTGTTTTAAAAAGCAGCTTTGGCTATGGTGTGATATTTTAGATGTGATGAAAAAACCTTATTGACCATTAAAGCTTTTTTATGTACATTTGTTGTGTTATGTGCAAATATAAACTATTAAGAGAGTTAATGTATTATTATTTAAAAACCAATAATAAGATTCCATTAAAGAAATTTTGTTTCTGTCCTAGTGGTACCTTATTTCTTGACTTTGACATTTCAGGTAAAAAATAAAAATAGTGATAAAGTAAATGAAGGCAAGATCCTCCTTTCTGAAAAACAGAAAGAAACAAATATCCAAGAGCAGAATTCATCAGGTTCAAATGAAGAAAAATCCAAAGCTCATAAAAAATCAAACCCATATGGAGAATGGAAAGAAATTAAACAAGAAGTTGAGTCTCAGTAAGTACCTGAAATGTAATCCCACTGTTATTACAAATATTTTATATCAAATACTTCAATAAGTTATAGTAACTATTTGAAGGATAAAGTACTCATTAAAAGTATAGCTCATTTATTTTATTACTAGAGTGTTTTTTTTTCTAGTATTTTAAAATATGAATTGGGTTATTTTAAAAAGGTAGTGATTGTTTTCATTTCTTCCAAAATATGACATTTCTGTTGAGCACACATTCACACAGTAACTCAATTATGCACACATGAGCATTCTCACACTCATGATTATTATTCTATCTGAGAAATAAATATCTGCATAGTCAACAAATGCTGCATATAATACATCTAAAAGCAATAAAAAAGTTCTGTTGCTGTCTTCAAAATGGCTTATGACAAAGTTTTTAAGCCAGTTTAAGAAAACAACAGTTTTATCAATTGAACAAGATCATGGTGAGATGTTACCTGGTTTATATTTCTAGCTTATGTGATCAAGTCAGTTACTGTCTTAGAAGCATTTACACAATGAAAGGAAGATCTCACTTTCAGCTTCACAGATTAGTGTTTCTTAACTGCTTTAAAAAAATCTTCAGGTGGGAAAAAAAAGAATCTTCTAATTACATTAGTTAAGCAGTTATTCTGTAAGACATTGCTTTGAAATGGTAATGAAAGATGACTAATCTAGTAATACTTGAAATTATTTATGTTAAAATTATATTTTAATGAAAAGGTTCAATTTTTTCACAGGTAAAAGTAATGCAAGTTTTGGAACTTTATATACCTGTTCTAATTAGAAATGATTCTCTAGGGGGTAACACACCATTAAAATGGTACTAGGATAGATTCCGGTCACCATAGTGGCATAGGTAAATGTAGTACTCCAATCTTCCCACAACCACATCAAAATTACAACTAAACTGCAGAACAACCATCATTCGGAACTGCCTGAAATCTAGCTGAACAGAAGTCCTACAGCTAAGGATATGATGAAGCCACATTGAGACTGGTAGGAGGAGTGGACACCCAGAAAGTTTGGTCCCACTGATAAAAATTGGGAGAGATATCTCAGCTGTGGGGGTCCCCCTGAGGAGTGAGGGGTTCCAGTCCCACACCAGACTGCCCACCAGGTGCTGCTTGTTTGAGAAATTGGGTTCCAGTAACACAGAGAGAAATTATCATAACTTCTGGCTGTAAAAACCAGTAGGGATTATGGTTCAGTGAGCTGGAGGGCTGCTGGAGTCCCAGGCATTTCTCTTAAAGGGCCAGTGCGCAGACTTTCTCAGCTCACTCACTTCTCCAGCACTGGGCCAGCTGCTCAAAAGGCACCAGGGTTATAAGGGGAGGAACTGAATTGTCTGCAGTCAGGGCAAGCACTGGAGGGGCAACTTTCTCCCATACAGAAGTGCTGGTAGAATGGTGGCAACAGGAGGGTGTTCCTTTTCTGAGCCCTCCCACCATAGATCCAGTAGGCGGGCACCATATCTGAGTCTCCATCAACCTGGCTGTCACCCTGATCCCTGAGACCCAAGCCCACCCAAATTGTAGGTCCACCCAAGCTGTTTGCAATGGCTTTTCCTTATGAACAACTTGTCTTGGCGCATAACTTCAGACATTACTAAAATTTCTCAAACAAGCAGCATCTAGCATCTGTGTGCCCCTTACCTCATGCAAAGTTGCCACAGGCCCAGCACTAGCAGCAGCCAGCCTTGGTTCTCAGATTGGCCTCACTTCAGCACCTCCAAGCCCAGCACAAGTAGCAGCTATCTAAGAATCACTTTGTAAGTCATGCTGATGGCCCTGGGGGACAACACAGGCAGCAGCTGACCTTTGCCTGCACTTTCCGGGAGACACCTAAGCCAGCATACCTGGTGCACAGCATCAGACCATGTTGAAGCACCACCCGGCTGCCTCCACAAGAAACACATTCAAGCAGCATACTCAAGAGGCTTCAGAGCCCTACTGAAGTAAGTCTTCTTCCATGGGGTGGGCCCGTGCACAGCTGATCCTCCAAGGTGGTCACAGCCAGTCCTTATAGCTGATAGGCCTAGGGATAAATCCCTCCTGTTGATGTGTCAACAGCAATCAGTGCTCAACTACAACAGGAGGGTGTACACCAAGCATGTCAAACTCAGAGGCTAACACAGGCCAAATAAACAAGGTTTAAGTTTATATGGGCCACAAAAATACAAAAGCTTCAATTTTCATAGAAACGTAGGTTTATTTCAATAGAGACATGCTAAATACAAAGGGCTGAAATAAATGAGTAATATTTTTTTCTTGAACATTAACTTACCGGACACTGAATAACTGCACAAATTAATAAGCATAATGCAAATAAACCTACTTTTCTTATTCTCCCAAAGCAAAATATTTCCTATTGCACACACCAAACAAGTCAGTATAAGACTAATGACGTGGCAATCGGCTGCTAAAATACTCGCTGCTAGTATTAGTGGGGAGAGATGGTGTGCTTGCGCGTAAGGCGCGTAAGGGAAATGAATGCAACACGATTATAGTAAACAGTCATTAGTGAACATTGTAGTTCATTATTAATAACTAGAGGCCCAGTGCACAAAATTTGTGCGCTAGGGGGTGGGGTCCCTCAGCCCGGCCTGCACCCTCTCACAGTCTGGGACCCCTCACTCCTTACCGCCCGCCTGCTCGCTCCTTACCACTCAGCTCACTGCTCCTTAGCGCTCCCACAAAGGTGGGAAAGGCTCCCACCACTACCACAGAGCCTGGTTTCTGGCTGAGCAGCGCTCCCCCTGTGGAAGCGCACTGACCATTGGGTGAAAGCTCCTGCATTGAGCGTCTGCCCTCTGGTGGTCAGTGCGCAACTTGGCGACCAGTTGTTCTGGACATTCCCCATAATGGTTGCTTAGGCTTTTATTATATTGACTAGAGGCCCGGTGCACAAAAATTTGTGCACTTGGGGGGGGTCCCTCAGCCCGGCCTGTGCCCTCGCACAGTCTGGGACCCCTCGGGAGATAACGACCTGCTGGCTTAGGCCTGCTCCCGGGTGGCAGAGTGCAGGCCTAATCCCTAGGTGCAGCCCCTGGTTGGGCTCAGAGCAGGGCCGATTGGGGAATTGGGGCGCCGCCCCCTGTCATGCACAGAGCAGGGCAGATTGGGAGGTTGCGATGCCACCCTCAGTCACGCTCAGGGTAGGGCCAATTGGGGAGTTGGGGCACCGCCCCCTGTCACACTCAAGGCAGGGTTGATGGGGAGGTTGCGGCGCGACCCCCTGTCACGCACAGAGCAGGGCCAATCAGGGGTTTGGGGCGCTGCCCCCTGTCACGCACAGAGCAGGGCGTATCGGGGTTAGGGCACCGCCCTCTATCACCCACAGAGCAGGGCCGATCAGGGGGTTGGGGCACCGCCACTCTAACACTCAGGGCAGGGCCGATGGGGAGGTTATGGCTCTACCACATCACACACAGAGCAGGGCCCGTGGGGTGGGGGGGTTGGGGCGCCGCCCTCTATCACCCACAGAGCAGGGCCGATCAGGGGGTTGGGGCACCACCACTCTCACACTCAGGGCAGGGCCGATGGGGAGGTTATGGCTCTACCCCATCACACACAGAGCAGGGCCCGTGTAGTTGGGGGGTTGGGGTGCCGCACCCTGTCACACACACAGTCGCAGGGCGATCAGGAGGTTGGGGAGCTCCCCCCTATCAGGCGCAGAGCAGGGCCAATCAGGGGGTTGGGACGCCTTCCCCTGTCAGGAACAGAGCAGGGCCAATAGGGAGGTTGTGGCCCCGCCCCCTGTTACACACAGAGCCACAGGGCGATCAGGGGTTTTGGGCGCTGCCCCCTGTCATGCTGATCCCGGTGCCGGGAGACCTCGCAGCTCCGCTGATCCCGGTGCTGGGAGGCATATTACCCTTTTACTATATAGAATAGAGGCCTGGTGCATTGGTGGGGGCTGGCTGTTTTGCCCTGAAGGGTGTTCCGGATCAGGGTGGGGGTTCCCATTGGGGTGCCTTGCCAGCCTGGATGAGGGGATGATGGCTGTTTGCAGCTGGTCACACACCCTTCAGGGTGGGGGTCCTCACTGGGGTGCCTGGCCAGTCTGGGTGAGGGGCTGAGGGCTGTTTTCAGGCTGGCGGGTGACTGAAGCTCCCAACTGCTCCTTTTTTTCTTTTTTTTTTCTTTTTTATTCTGAGCCAGCTTTAGCTCTGAGGCTCCAGCTCTTAGGCCTCCGCTCCTGAAAGCAGGTATCTGGTTTGTTTAGGTTCTACAATCGAAACTCTGTATCAACTCCAGGTCTGAGATCCCGGCTAGCTGAAAGCTGGTTTCTGGGGTTTTGTTTAGCTTCTATTTTTGTAACTATGTTTCAAACTGCCAGCTTAGAGGCCTGCAGCGGCAGGCGGGGAACCTCGGAGTCCTCCGTCACTGAAGCAAGCAAGCCTCATGTTAGTTTCAAGCTGCCTGGCTGCCGGCCGCCATCTTGGCTGGCAGTTAATTTGCATATCGCCCTGATTAGCCAATGGGAAGGGTAGCAGTCGTACGCCAATTACCATGTTTCTCTTTTAGTAGATAGGATTCTGTATAACAGGATGTTGTAAAAATTAAGTTACAAAATTTTTATTACGTTTCTTACATACCATCATATTGGCTGGGCCGCAAAAATACTTGTTGTGGGCTGCATGCAAGCTGCGAGTTTTAACATGCTTGGTGTACACAGCCCACAAGAGTGCCCAGCTTGGGTGAACATGGAGGCTGTGTCACTGGACCACACAGGACAGCTACTTTATGAGGCCACTCTATCAAGCCCAGGAGACATACCAACTCTATCTAATACATAGAAACAGACAGGGGGGCAGCAAATAGGAGACAAAGAAACGTGTCCCAAATGAAAGAACAAAACTCCAGAAAAAGAACTAAACAAAATGGAGATAATCTACTAGATGCAGAGTTCAGACCACTGGTTATAAGGATACTCAGTGGACTTAGGGGAATAGTAGATGAACTTAGTGAAAACTTCAGCAAAGAGATAGGAAACAAAAACAACTAGAAAACAAAAAAGAACCAGTCACAAATGAAAAATACATTAATTGAAATTAATTGAATACATTACAAGGTATCAACAGTGGAGTGGATGAAGCAGAAATTTGGAAGAAAAGGAAGCAGAAAACACCCAATCAGAACTGCAAAAATGAAAAAGAAACCCCCAAAAAGGAGGATAGTATAAGGAGCCTCTGGGACAACTTCAGTCATACCAACATTTGCATCAAGAGGATGCCAGGAGAAGAGAGAGAGAGAGAGAGAGCAAGGAACTGAAAACGTGAAAAAATCATGTGGAAAATTTCCCTAACATAGTGAAGGAAATAGACATACAAGTCCAGGAAGTGCAGAGTCCCAAACAATATGAACCCAAAGAGGCCCGCTTTAAGACATACCATAAATAAAATGCAAAAAGTTAGAGTATTTGAAAAGCAGTTAGGTAACTACAAGCGAGCTCCCATAAGACTGTCAGCTGACTTCTCAACAGACACTTGGAGGCCAGAAGGGATCGGCAAGAAATATTCAAAGAGATGAAAAGGCAAGGACATACAACCAAGATTACCCAGCAAAGTTATTTAGAATCAAAGGACAGATAAAGAGCTTCCCAGACAAGAGAAATCTAAAGGAGTTCATCACCACCAAACTAATATTACATGAAATGTTATAAAAAGGTGTTCTTTCAGAAGAAGAAAAGATTAAAAAAAAAAAAGAATAATAAAATGGCCATAAATACTTACCAACAATTGAATCTAAAAAACAAATGAACAGGAACAGACTCAGATACAAAGAACACTTTGATGATTGCCATATGGGAGGATGTTGTGGGGATGGGTGAAAAAGATAAAGGGATTAAGAAGTATAGATTTGTGCCTGCCCAATATGGCTCAGTGGTTGAGCATCAATCCATGAACCAGGAAGATTCAATTCCTGGTTAGGGCACATGCCCAGGTTGCAGGCTTGATCCCCAGTAGGGGGCGTGCAGGAGGCAGCCAATCGATTCTTATTGATGTTTCTGTCTCTCCCTCTCCCTCCCTCTGAAATCAATAACAATATATATTTTTAAATCCTTTGAGAAAAAAAGAAGTATAGATGGGTATTACAGAATAGTCATGGGAATATGAAGTACAGCCTAGGGCAGTGATGGCGAACCTTTTGAGCTCGGCGTGTCAGCATTTTGAAAAACCCTAACTTAACTCTGGTGCCATGTCACATATAGAAGTTTTTTGATATTTGCAACTATAGTAAAACAAAGACTTACATTTTTGCTATTTATTTTATGTATTTAAATGCCATTTAACAAAGAAAAAAACAAAAAAATGAGTTCGCGTGTCATAGGTTTGCCATCACTGGCCTAGGGAATAGTCAATGATATTTTAATAACTGTGTATGGTGACAGATGGGTACAAGATTCATCAAGATGATCACTTAGTAAGTTATATAACGTCTAACACTGGGTAGTATACCTGAAATTAATGTATGTCAACTGTAACTGAAAAACAAAAAATGATTTAAAGTAAGATAATTGTTACTATTATGAAACATTGAAATTGTATATATTAAATATTGGGAAATGTGTATTTAATACATATTTAATACAGGTACCATAAGTAAATTATGTATTTTGAAGTTGCAGAAATAATAAACTGCATTACTTAAGACCTAAGTGACTTACATTAAGAAGATGGTCCTGTTATACCAATATCTACTATTCTGCAAAGTTGAGATTTCTCAGATTTTGAGTATTTTTTTCTTGTGATAACTATATTCTAAAGCCATTCTTGTTAAATTTTAATCACTAAGCCAGGTTAGTATGTGATGGATTATGTCTGACTCCCTAAGTAGATTAGCCTAATTTCTTAAGGGTTTTTTTCCCTCTAAAAATAACATACATGTTTATTATAAAAGACTTTTTTAAATGAAGAAAAGCATAAAATATCCTATTTTGTTAAAATTTTATAAATTTTATTTTAAATTGCCATATAATATGTAGTCATTTAGATGTGCATTGATTTTACTCAGCTATTCTCTTTCTGCTGACATTAGGTTATTTCCACATTTTTTTGTTTTTATAACTTACTCTGATTATTATATAGCTACTAGAGGCCTGATGCATGAAATTTGGGCGGGGGAGGGGGGTCTCTCAGCCCGGCCTGCACCCTCTCGCAATCCAGGACCCCTTGGGGATGTCCGACTGCCGATTTAGGCCTAAACTGGTAGTCGGACATCCCTCTTGCAATCTGGGACCCCTTGCTCCTAACCGCCCGCCTGCTCGCTCCTTACCGCTTGGCTTGCCGCTCCTTAGCGCTGCCATGGAGGTGGGAAAGTCTCCCGCCACTGTCGCTGTGCTTGCCAGCTGTGAGCCCATCTTCTGGCTGAGCAGTGCTCCAGCAATGGGAGCACACCAACCACCAGGGGCCAGCTCCTGTGTTGAGCGTCTGCCCCTTGGTGGTGGAGCTGCCCCCTGGAGGTCAGTGCGCATCATAGCAACCGGTTGTTCCGCCGTTCTGTCAATTTTCATATTAAGGTTTTATTATATAGGATATTACTCTGTGCACATTACTGACTATTTCTAGGAATGGAATAGCTGTTTAAAGATTAGGAGTATCATACAAATTTATACTTTATTGGCAGTTTTGAAAGTTCCTCTTCCATTGGACCCCCTCAGCAAAAACTGGCATGTATTCAGTATTACATTGTCCATCCAAAAATGTTGTATCTCTCCTTTTACTCAAGTCATCTTGTATGATTTTATAGTTTTTGTATCTGCCTCTATGTAAGTCTCACATTTGCATTTCTTGAATGTAAGCTAGGTAGCCACTTAGTCTAGTTGGTTTACTGATGTAACCGCAGAACTAAAAACAGTGCCTAGCACATAATAGATGCTTAGTAAGTGTGTTTTAAGTACATTAATTAATTTTTAAATTGTGGATTTTATCCATTTCTTATTATTTCTTTAATTAGTAAATATGGTATGAAAAAGCTTGTGTCCCGTTGTGCTGCTGAATTATTTTATTTATAAAACTACTATTCTGAGTTATGAGTTTTCCGTGTACAAACTTTTCTGAAAATATTTTGTGATTTTTTTCTTTTGATTTTGCTCCCTATTTATTTCATTTCCTATTTGCTTTAGTTAGATTTTTAAAACCAGTGTTATATAATAGTGATGACAGTGGGCATTCATGTTTTGTTTCTGATTTCAGTGGAAATGTATCTAAAATTTATATTGAGGATTATATTGACTGTTGATCTTAAGCCTATTATGTTATTTTTATTATGTTAAGGATGTGTGCTTTATTTCTGGATTCTTCAAGGATTATCAGAAATTGATTTTGATAAATTTCAGTAGTCATAGCTTTGATATGGGGAACAGATTGGGAAATGGATGTCTGTAGTTTTGTTTTTCTTTGTAAAATGAGTGATATCTTTATCAGGTTTGGATATTTGACTTATGCTAAATAAAAAGTGAGATAGCTTTTCCTTATTTAATGTTCTTGAATAATTTAATAGTTCCTCTGGGATTAGAAAGTTTAATAGAAATTACTAGTAAAAGCTGGTTCTGGAGTTCTAGGAGGGAGGTAATTTTTTTATATCTCTCTTTAGTCTCTTGGTTACTATCTGTGACATTGGACAAGTTGCCTTATCTCGTTGAGCCTCAATTTTCTCATTTGTAAAAGTTATAGTTCCCAACTAATTTCTAATTTGTTGTGTGGAATACATTAGAAAAGACAAATTAACACATGTAGGACCATGTACGCACTTGGCACATAGATCACCTAAGATTTCAACTATTATGTACTGCAGCTGCTGTTTTGGGGGAAAGAGCAGGGGGTTGGGGTTATAGCTTCAACTACTTATTCTGGAGTACTAATCAGTTTCAGTAATCTATATTTTCCCCTAAAATCTTGTATTTCATAAAGACTTTAACATTTAAAACATATGTTAATACAGTAAACTTTCTATAATTTTTGGCATTGCTTTTTGAGATATAATTTTGATTAGAGACTTCAGTCCATTTAAATTTAGAATAATATCTGGATTTACCAGTGCCATCTTATCAGTTGTTTTTTGGCTATGTTGTAGTTGCCTTTTTCCTTTTTTCTCTCTTGCTGAATTGATGTGATTATGCAGTGGTATGCTTTTATTCCCTTCTTTTATACCTCATGAATCTATTTTAGGTTTTTGTTTTGTGATTACCATGATGCTTATATAAAACTTCTTATATATATAAAACAGTCTATTTCACACTGTCTGATAACAACCTCAGTCACAAAAAATACATTTTTACTTCTGTTTTATGTTTTTGATGTCAAAATTTACATCTTCATATATTGTGTACCTATTAACAAATAGTTTTAGCTAGTCTGGTTTTAATGTATTTGTCTTTTAACCTTTATATTAGAGTTAAGTAGTTAACACACAACCCTAATAGAGTCTTCGTTTATTCTGACTATATGCTTTGTATTTTCTGACTATATACCATTTTGGGGGGTATATTTTTATGTTAGTAATTAGCAGCCTTTCAGTTCAGCTTAAAAACTCCTTTCAGCATTTCTTGTAAAGCAGAATCACCTCAGATTTTTTTTATTAGGGTAAGTTTTTATTGCCTTCATTTCTGAAAGACACTTTAACTGGCTAGGTAATCTTGATTAGCATTGTATTCCTTTCAACACTTGGAATATATCATCACATTCTCTTCTGGCTTGCATTGTTTGCTGAGATACTCTCTGGTAGCCTTATGACATTCTCTTGTATGAGTAAAATTTTCTTCACTTGCTGCTTTTAAAATTCTTTCTTTGTCTTAGATGTTAAACAGTCTCATTAAAATGTGTTTTGAAGATCTTTTTGGATTATAATTTTGAGGTGACCTATATTAGCTTCAACTGGATGTACAAATCTCTGCCCACTTTTGGGAAATTTTCACACATTATTTGTAAGCTCTGGGAGGGGCAGGAATTGAGCTGGGCCTCAGGAATTACTGACCAGGCCTGAAACATTGGCAGAATTCTCCATCTTCCATCCCTAATCTTTGTAGAACTCCTTTCTCTAAATAGGGAGGATATGTAGTTCCCAACAGGTTTTATACGTCTAGCCACTAAAAAGTTAAACATAATGATCATTCTGGTCCATGTTCAAAAAGCTCAGGGAATGGAGTGATGGGTTTATTATGCTCGTGTTAAACAGGTATTGATCTGTGGACTAGTCAACTGAATATTTATAGTAACCATATGGACAGTTGAAGGGCTAGTTCCTTAGTAAAAAGGTGGTAGGCAAACAGCCACATAGAGTCGTTACTACACTAGGCCATTGACATGCCATGGTTTTCATCTTGTGCTGTGTGAGCCCCCATAGGTCTTGTCAGTCCGTAGCAAAATCATTTTCCATAAATACATCTCACTTATTCACCTATATAACTATACTGTTAATCATACATAAGCACAAGCATTTCCTTAAACGACACATATTTTGTGCAACAGGAATAAAAGAATAGATGGGAGTTTTCCTGGTGTGTCCACCTAAATAAGTATTTAGTATCTTAAATAATTTATTTTAAAATAGTTTCCTACTCTAAAATGGCTAACTTCCCACTATTAGAAAGGTGATCTTGGGGCTTTGGTGGACCGACCAGTTATGTGAAAGTTTGTCTTAATCTTTGTCAAGTAATGGTTTTATTTTTATTTTCTATTCCAGTGAGGAGGTAGATTTGGAACTTCCAAGCACTGAAAATGAATATTTATCAACTTCAGAAGCTGCTGTTGGTGAGGAACCCAAAGTAGTTTTTAAAGAAAAAACAGTCACTTCTCTTGGAGTCGTGGCAGATGGAGTGGCCCCAGTATTCAAAAAGAGAAAAGTGGAAAATGGAAAATCTAGAAATTTAAGACAGCGAGGTGATGATCAATAATTTGAAAAGAGTTTTGGAACAGGATGCAGACTACACATCTTAAAGCTTCTCTATATTATTTCTAAATACTTTAATGTTAAAAATTTAGATTTATTCTAAATGTATTTTATGTGAATGTAAAATAAATCTTTTTTTATGTGAAATTTATTTTTGTTCCTAAAATGGAAGCCTACTTACTACCTTGCATTGTATTACAGTGTATTATGTTCAGTGCCTAAAAATGCTAATTGTCATAATATAAGATGCTATGTATCTGTTTTTTAAAACCTGGAAAAGCAAGGCCTTTATTCCATTTTTACTCATGTGAACATATTTACCCTGCACTGAAAATGCATTACTTTCATACACTGATATTAACTTTTATCTAAGAAATAAGAATCAGACCCCATAAGAGAAGATTCACAGGCCATTGATAGATTCAGTTCTGAGAATCCTGTCAAAAGGCTGATTTAAGAAGTATATGCACATTGCCTTGTTACTCAACTTAAGGTCAAGGACCAAGAAAAGGACTACAGCTCAATTAGAGTGCAAATTGGACCACAGGTACAAATGAGAGTGTTTGCCTAGTTCAAAGCAACAACCATTGCTTAAGCATTTTTACTTTGAGCTAGGTATTATACTGTGCCCTGGGGATATAAAAATAAGGCATATCCCTATTCACAACTTCACTTTCTAGCATAGTCCTTTCCTTCCAGTCATGTACTCTGTTTAGCAGTCTTATTTACATGTACTGGAAAATCTTTTTTAAGGTTTACTTAAAACTAGGTAGATGAAGGCTTGAACACAAATAGTAATGTCTCAGGCTTCAGTAAAAGATTTTAGTGTTCCCTTAGACAAATTAGACATTTCTTGTTTTCTAGTTAAGTTTCTTAAAAAATAGAATATTTCTTATTTAATTAATTTGAAATAGCTTCTCTTTATTACTCCAAATTCTTAAAATTATATTTTTATAAATTGTACAGTATTTAATGTTTGGTAGTAAATATTTGTCTTAAGGTTACTAGTATACATGTAAGAAAATGATAGATTATTAAAAACTTTATGAAAGAGCAAATTAATATTGGGTGTTTGGTTTTTTTTCTAATATCAGAGTCATCTTAGCATTGGAGAGCAGATATTTGGAGATTTGTTTTTCCACTTGTTCAGTTTACTTATTTGGGCATTTCATGAATGTAGAGCATTGTAAAGAAGTATTTTAGGTTCTGTATAGCCCATTTGTCATCTAACTAAGTAATGTATCTTGTTGCTTGACTCCTCAATTGGAAAAGATGGTAAGACTATAAATGCAATACTGCTATATTTTACCCACATTTAGCTTATACAAAATACACAATTGAAGACATTTTTAAAACTGCACCTCACTATGTAAAGTGTTTCTCTTTGATGCATTCTTTTTGTTTTTATTATCCTCACATGAGGATATGGTTATTGACTTGAGAGAGAGAGAGAGAAACCTCGATGTGAGGGAGGAACATCAATCAGTTGCCTTCCATATGCACACTGTCTGGGGATCAAATCCACAACCTAGGAATGTATATTGACTAGGAATCGAACCCACAACCTTTTAGTGTACCAGACAATGCCCCAACCAACTGAGTAACCTGGCCAGGGCTTTTTGATGCATTCTTTAACTACTTTTTTTTTTTTTTTTTTCTGTTCATCAGATTATTTATTCACTTCATTCTTAGATTCACTTGTTGATAGATGCATATTTGTTGTTCATAATTTGTATCTTTACTTTTTTCTTCCTCTTCCTCTTCTTAAAGGATACCTTTCAGCATTTCATATAATCCTGGTTTGGTGGTGATGAACTCCTTTAGCTTTTCCTTATCTGTGAAGCTCTTTATCTGACCTTCTATTCTGAATGATAGCTTTGCTGGGTAAAGTAATCTTGGGTGTAGGTTCTTGGTATTCATCACTTTGAATATTTCTTGCCACTCCCTTCTGACCTGCAAAGTTTCTGTTGAGAAAACAGCTGACAGTCGTATGGGTATTCCCCTGTAGGTAACTGAGTTTCTTTCTCTTGCTGTTTTTAAGATTCTCTCTTTATCTTTTGCACTTGGCATTTTAATTATGATGTGTCTTGGTGTGGTCCTCTTTGGATTCCTTTTGTTTGGGGTTCTCCGCGCTTCTTGGACATGTAAGTCCATTTCTTTCACCAGGTGGGGGAAGTTTTCTGTCATTATTTCTTCAAATAGGTTTTCAATATCTTGCTCTCTCTCATCTTCTGGCACCCCTATAATTCTGATGTTGGTACGCTTGAAGCTGTCCCAGAGGCTCCTTACACTATCCTCGCATTTTTGGATTCTTTTTTCATTTTGCTTTTCCGGTTGGGTGTTTTTTGCTTCCTCGCATTTCAAATCATTGACTTGATTCTTGCGCTCCTCTGGTCTGCTGTTGGGAGTCTGTATAATATTCGTTATTTCAGTCCGTGTATGCTTAATTTCTAGTTGGTTCCCCAATATAACATCGAGGGTCTCATTAGTTTTCTTGTAGATCTCATTAAGTTTATCGGCGGCTTCTAAACAGTTCTTGAGAGACCTTAAAAGTGTGGTTCTGAACTCTATATCTTCCATTGACAATTTTGTCCTGTTTCTTTGTCTCCGCATTTTGTTATGCTTCCTTGGTGCACCCCCTAGTGGTCTTTGTGCGCAGTCTTATAGTTAAACCTTGATTGTTGTAGCTAATACCAGGGAGGGTTTGACCTCCAGGCCAAGTGGCTATGAGAATCAGCTGTGTCAGCAGTGAGAGAACTTCTGTCCTCTAGGGAGGTGCTAATCTAGCCTTTGCCTGAGGCTACCCGGCAAATGCCTGTGTGCAGGGCTTGGGCGGGGCGGGTCACACAGGATCAACAGGGTGGGCCGGAGAGAGCAGTTATGGCGGCTCTCAGTCCTGTCCCCAGGGGCTCTGCCTCTCTGAGTCCCAGCACCCGCTGCAAAGCTCGGAGAGAAAGCTGCACTCGTTCTGACCGAAGCCAGACAGTCCCGCTTCTCCCGTTTGAGTCTGGGTCCCTAAAGACTCGCCCGGATCTGGAGCTCAGAGTCTGCGACTCCCTCCCAATTGAAAACGCCAACCGCCGCCAGCCCGCTCCACACACTCCGCACCTCAGAATTTGACTTCAGCACTGCGCCTCCTCTGAGTGTCCGTATGCGTTTCTCTTTCCTCCTAGTTGTAGGACTTCCACAGCGTTCCTGTGGTTCTGGGTGATGTCCGTTCCGTTTTTTAGTTTCACTTTTGAAGTAGTTGTTCAAGGCAGCAAACTCCGGCGTTAACCTATGCCGCCATCTTGGTTCTCTCCCAAATCTCTCTGAATTCTTTCTTACGAGTGTGATAAGAGCCAAGGAGGGGAGAGCCCCCTCCTACTTGGGCAGCTCTCTGGTAACAGTTTTCATTCTTTAACTACTTTACCTTTGTAATAAAACAGTATTAGAAGTTTGAAGGTAAACCTTAAACAAACTGGCTTTAAGGATTGCTTAGAAAAGACTTAAACACAAAAATTTTAGTAAATCAAATTGTAAAAAACTAATTTTCTATTTGTTTTGAAAGAATAAGAAAACATACCAACTTACCTAGAATTTTTCAAAAGTAAAACAGTGGGTATGATCAAAATATTTGTATATAGGTATAGATGAGAGGTTATAAAGGTGAAGTCCCAATCTCTCACCTCCTCCCCCATGACCACTGTGGGTGTTTTTTCCCCCTAAGCATGTTAACACTGGGTATATGTGAGCAACCATTATGACACTTGGATTTATGAAGTCTACTCTCTGGATGAAATATTCAGAGTTGCATGATCCAAACATCCAAAAGTGGTTTTTGGTTTTTAATGCGGTTTTTATAAATCCTGAAAAGTATACTGAGGGAATAATCCTATCTGATTTTTAAATATTGAGAAACTATAATAATTAAAATAGTATGGTACTAGTTTATATAAGGGTACCATATAAACTAGAGTGTTTATGGTTACTGTGCCATTACCACACTGACCTCACTATTGTGTTTTTATAGTATACTAGAGGCCCAGTGCACAAATTTGTGCACCAGTGGAGTGCACCTCGGCTTGGCTTGTGGGGATCAGGCTGAAACCGACCCAGTGCACAGATTCGTTCAGTGCATGTCCAGCCCTTCTCACCCAGTCCCAGTCGGGGCTGGCTGGCTGGGAAGGTACTGAGGGAGGTTGACAGGCCAGGGAGGGACCACAGGAGGGCTTCAGGGCGTGTCCGGCCCATCTTGCCCAGTCCCGATGGGCTGGACCCCAGCAGCAAGCTAACCTACCAGTGGGAGCATCTGCCCCCTGGTGGTCAATGTGTGTCATAGTGACTGGCCAAATGAATGGTCGGACACTTAGCATATTAGGCTTTTATTATATACTAGAGGCCCAGTGCACGAAATTCATGAACTCAGGGGGGTCCTTCAGCCCGGCCTGTGCCCTTGCAGTCCGGGAGCCCCTGGGGGATGTCTGACTGACGGCTTAGGCCCAGTCCCCAGGGGGAATGGGCCTAAGCCGTCAGTCAGACATCCTTAGCACTGCCACAGAGGCGGAAGAGGCTCCGCCACTGCCGCTGCGCTCGCCAGCCATGAACCCAGCTTCTGGCTGAGCGGTGCTGCCCCTGTGGGAGTGCACTGACCACCAAGGGGCAGCTCCTGCATTGAGCGTCTGCCCCCTGGTGGTCAGTGCGTGCCATAGCGACCAGTACTGCCATTCGGTCAATTTGCATGTTAGCCTTTTATTATATAGGAATATTTTACTATGCCATATCTAACATGTGTAGAACAGTATGATTTGATTCAACCTCTATAGGAAGTAATTTATCAAAATGTCAAAATTTGAAATTTCAGTATCTGTTGACTGTGTTTACTTGGCATTTCCACTTACAGAGATTTATCTTGTAAGTACTCACATGTGAGAAGTGACATGTGAAAGACTAA